GACAAATATACTACTTTTAAACTTCTGGCAAAATATACAATAACCGTGTGTTGCCGATATCCATACGAAAATAATACCGAATACTGAAAACAATTTGGTGCTGCAGAAATTTGGTGAAAAGATGGAAAAATCGCAAAATCACAACAATGCGAGAACGTAATGTAAGAAGCAAGAGTATGGTCTTCCTTAGCTTCCATGACAAGGAACCAAGGCCAAGTATCCCTACAGGAATACAATCATCAAGTCACTGTTGCATCGTCAGATGAATCAAGATCAGAATGAAGAGTTCGCCACGGAGCACCAACGAGGACGATGTCATATGTAAGTGGCATTCCAGCAAACTAACACCATAGGGGTACAGGGATGTTATAATCTAGCGGATCCAGAGGAGCGGCTAGATTGGCCTATGAACCACGTCCTTTTCGAATATGCTCCGGGCAAGTATCTAAAATAACTTTATAAAAAAGACCATTCAAAAGGTAGGTGTACAGTCAAACCATATAAAAATTCATACATAGGGCTTGCAATAACTATCCGATTAATGGCACTGGACCCATTTTACCACCCGTCTAGGTGACGTCAGGTTCCTGGCTCCAGTGCCATCAACTGACAGAATCCCTCCCTCCACCTTCCTCCGACGACACAGGGGCGCAACCCACGGCAGCCGTTGTACTTCACTCAGGGAATGTACAAAACATGTATAAACTCCCTCTAAAACCCAACCCCATATCCCGCCGAAGTACCTACGATATAATATTGCATTTCCTTTCTGTAAGGGGCGGTCGGGTAGCCCAGTGGTTAAAGCGTTCGCTCGTCACGCCAAAGACCCGGGTTCGATTCCCGACATGGGTACAATGTGTGAAGCCTATTTTTGGTGTCCCTCGCCGTGATATTGCTGGAATATTGCTGAAAGCGGCGTAAAATCAAACTCACTCACTCACTCACTCACTCACTCACTCACTCTGTAAAACCAGTAGTCCTTGACAAACATCATTCACTCTGACATGAATGTAACATACACAAGGCATACTCACAAGTTCGACTCGTCTGTACAGTACGAGCGGGTGTTCATGTAGTTAGATTTCGTGGAAATTATTGGTGACCTTGAACTACCGTTCTATAAATGTTTGCATATGATAAGAACATGCATGCGTAGGTATGTAGGTCAGGTGACAGGATAGCCTTGAGATAAATGCACGTCGCCCTGTCACTCTAGACGTTATGCAAAAGATAAGCATATCCCACGAATACTTTATCATTGTAACGCAAAGTCTTGATTTATAATAATTTTTCTGTCACATGGAAGTCACAGATACTGCAAATACCTACGCGGACCACAGACAACCATTACTGTAATTCTCAGATGTGTTATTTCCTCGATGATCCAAACGCTTGCTAAGGAAAAAAAACTCATAAGGAGGCGACAAATTAAATGTGGTTAACCCATAACCACTCAGGCCATTGTGTTTGTTCAACCTGTCACTGTCACAGCTAACACAACGTCCCTGTGTCCTGCAAAATAAATACTTAAATGTATTATGTTCGGCAGCTCGGTGGCTTGGTTGAAAGCGTGTCGATGATGTATTATCAGCTCAAGGCGAGAAAGACCAGTGTCCATTTCATGTCGCAGCCTGAAATAATCGAGTATGAACAATCCAGTCATTGATATTATGAGCAACGATCCCGCTGCAAGGGTACGTTTACAAGCCATCGGCAAAGTCCCCGAGCCTGACCACCCGATCCATCAAGTTGCCTCTGACCATCAGCATAGGTTGCGAGGTACCTTTCATCAGACTGAAATAGACCAGTGTGCATTTCATTGTCCCTGGAATCTAATGTACCTTCATGAAGAGTCGAAGTGATGTGTCTTTATAGTTAAAATTATTGGAAATTATCTGTGGCCTTGACATTCTATAAATCAACATGATAAAGAATGGCGCCGTTTTGTAAGTGTGGTGATAGCAAATAAAGTAAAACAATTGTACATCCACAAAATGGACGGTTCCTTGTTCATGTCTGGAAAAGCTTATTACTGCATTATTTTGAGGGTTACATTATTTAAGTTTGCCGGTAGGTTCGGTCTCAAGGTTACCTCACCCGTGCTCTTCAGAGACGGAACCCCGTCAGTCTACTAAACTAAATGTTCTCATGATTGTTCAAATGTTTCACATACATTCACACGCCATAGATGTATCACAACAATCTGTATTGGTATCAAATTGCATGTTGTAACAAAGAGTGATTATACGATGTATTATGATTACGAAAAAGTCTAAACGATTCAAATTCAAGATACCTTCACATAGAAATGTTTGCAGGATATATTAAATCATTATGATTATAACATATATATGTATATGTTATGTATTCAACACATTTACCTGTTGCCGAGCTAAACAGTGCAGTAAAACTATCACTTTTCTACGGTCCTATGTAAACTCCAAGTCCTAGCAGTGTCATATTTCTCACTTTACATCAGTTCCGAATCAGTTGTCACAACATTCCTGGTGATTTCTGTCATATGTTGGAGACCCGTTTAGGAGGCTTTGAAACTGAAACACTGATTACATTTTCCCCGATGTATATTGCATTGAACGAAACGTAAAACTGAAGAGCTTATAACTTTCTTACGGAGGTTGCAGCAAAATTGCATTACATTCTTGTACTGCATTTGGCATGTATTTTCCCGAAACCAGAAGTAACGTCATTATAACAAAAGTCCTTATAAGTTAGGGGAATGGGACTTTCTGTTTGAACGTTGTATTGGCCTTACAGTTATATAAACCGGATGTGCATGATGTTAAATTGGAAGTGCCTACAACTTTGTTATCAAGCTATTTAGAAGCAAAGGAAATCTGTTTGAAAGGGGCACTGCATTGGGCATGTGCTTTCCCGAACCGAAAGTGATTTTACTGAACCGGAAGTGATTAAAACTTTGTTTTTAAGCAATCTAAAAGCAAGGGGATTTTTGTTTGAAAGTGCTACTGCATTGGGCATGTGTTTTCCCGAACTGGAAGAGACGTTACTGAACCGGAAGTGCTTGTGACTTTGTTATTAAGATATTTAGAAGCATAGGACTTTCTATTTCAAAGTTATCCTGAATTGGGCATGTGTTTCTGTAAGTGATGTTATTAAAACCAAAGTGTTCATAATTGTGTTAGTGAGGTACGCGTAGCTACAGGCATACCTTATATATGTTTCTGTTTCTAAGTCGTACTTCATTAGGAATGCGTTGTCCGAACCCGGCACTGATGAAGGGAATGCTTATCACTTTAGTATTATGGTAGCTCTCTGGCTAGAGGCAAGGGCGTTTCTGTTTAAAAGTTATACTGCCTTAGGCATGTGCTTTCTTAAACAAGAAGGGATATTATTCAACTTGAAGTGCTTATAGCTTTATTATTAAGGTACATAGAGGCAAAGGACATTAAAAGTTGACCTGTATTGGGCATGTGTGAATTCAACTGGCACCTGTGGAAAGTCACAATGGTTCATGATACTTGTTTCTAATGGGAAGGTTTAGGGGGTATTTCAAGAACAGGTGAGGATGGCACTGCTTCCGTTTTTGCATGCAATGGAAACATCATTCTAGTTTTCCTCTCTATATTTGCATGTTTGAGATTCTAACTAACAATTATGGTAGGAAATGAAATTTAGAAACAAACTCATTTTCGCTAAACATCATGTCTTGTTTAATTCATAATAATGATAATTGGGGATATAATGTTTGAGATTTATAATGGACGAATCCCTGTCTCGATGTTGGAAAAAGTAAACCCGGACGAGGTTATATGTGATGGTAAAGAAATAGGTAGGAACAAGAAAGCTATTACACTTATGCAGAATATCAAATCTGACAGTAACATTAAGTAGCTGTTTATAGCTGTTGATTACATATTAAAGTGAGATGTATTGTGCTGTTCTATATTTTTTGCTAAAACGTTTCGCACACGGTATTTGATAACCAGCAAAAATGATAATCTTTTAATGTTATATTAAGCTTTGTAATCCATTCTGTGATAACACGTTGACAATTTGTGTACGTGAGGTATAAATGTTGATCGTGAAAATGCCCTAATTATAAAGTTATAGAACTACCGACAAACACTACAAACCCCCCACAAGGGAAATGACACTAAGTAGGGTGTATAGAAGGATTAAGCAGATCTGTAATAAATAAATAGCAGCAATTTGAAGTCATTGCGTCTAACTATAGTTCTATGATGGCTGGTGTACCACTCAATAAAACCTATATGCTTAGAGAATGGATGCTAAGGTAATCGTCCCATGTCTTCCTTTAGAACTAACAAAGACATCAACTTGATTACAATTTTCTGAAAACATGTCACTCAAGGAAACACCCTTATTAATTCCAATCAATAGCTAAAAGGTATCAGCACAGGAAGGTAAAAATATAAAGGGAATCTCCATGATCCGTATCAGCCACGGGGTTACCAGGCCTACCCTCAGGTCAACTCCTGGGAACACATAACAAATATTTGATAAAATTCTTAACAGTTTAATCAATGCCAAATTATTAGTCTGTAGTATTATCTTAATCATTTTTTAGTGTCGGATGGGAGGAGCTTGGCTGTGACCAGGGCTACCGAAGTCACGTATCCTTTAGCCTGCTTGTTGGAGAAGTTAACCTGGACCGTGATAGAAGTGGTGTTCAACAAGGTGGAATGGACATCAAACTCCCAAACATCCATGAAGTTGTAGATTTGACTGTTCTGTTTGTCTGAGTCGAACAGCTTGTAAAAGAAATTAAGAGGTTGGTGGTTAATGGTAACAGATGACAGACTGTTTGTTTCATTGATGGGAAGACTTGTTGAAATTCGCAGTCTTGCGCTGTCGAATTCATCTTTTGGAAGTAATATGGTCGTCACAGCAATGCTGTCCTTGATAGGTATAATGATATCACTTCCGTAGTATGTTGTTTCATTGAGAATGACTTTAGGTAATTGGCTTGAAGGGGTCTTGAGTGTAACCATTCCCCGAGTTTAACCGATGTCTAAGGGTTCGTTGAAGGTGATGACTGGATACCAGTTGTCCTTAATTGTGATGCAAGTAGCTTCTCCCGTGGTTGGTGTGATCCAGTCTTCTTGAAAAACTAGCTTGACGTCCTGTGACTGTTGATAATAACTGTGTAAGAGAATGACAGTTTCATTATGCAAGGAACTTGACACTGCTAATGGTGACACGGTTCGTTCTTGTACTTCACATTGGCTGGCGGTTCTGATGAAGGAATACTCTGACGTGAAATTGTACCAGAATTTGAAGACATCGACAATACGTGTGGCGTTTCCTTGGCGGGTGAAAAGTGACCAGTTGAGACTATCATGTCCTGGATATTGTTGATTGGACAATAGAAAAACCACTGTTCTATCAATGTATTCTCTCAAACCAAGGTGGGTGAATCTATGGGCATTAGACTGGTATATTGTTGCAAAGTCGACTATCCCAGATGGAGCTGTTGAGCTAATTCCCGTCACTTTCCCGCGACCATATTCACTGATAATTAGAGGAATAATTCTTCCCGTCTTTTGATGAACATAGTTTTCAAGCAGGTCGACAAAAGCTACTAGGCGTGCTTCATTTATACCAGTAAATCGGTGAGAGTTCCCCGAAACAATAAGTGAGTTGTACGAATGAAAACACGTCTAAATAGTCTAAAGTGATGTCCATGAAATCGACCAGTTTCGTCCAGAACGAAAAGTCGTTCCTGTCTACTACTGTGTTATATCCCGTCATTGTCGGGCCAGTCACTTTGATGTTAAACCTAGAATGGAGTTTCTCGGCAACTGTTTTGTGGAATAAGGCTACAGTGGTCGTGAAATTCATTATTTGCTCTTTAACATCTGGTTCGTTGACGACCTCGAAGTATGGCGGTATGTGACCTTGTGTGTAGTCATAGACTCCTTGTAGCATCAACACGATAAACTCTGCAGCAGCATCGATGTTGTTTGGGAATTGGCCCTCATGTTCGGATTGGTTCATCCAGTCTGGCCAGTGGAGAGCTGAAATATGCAAATAGAACGAAACATGACACTGATTGAAATGCATCTATGCTTCTTCTACAAGAGTATACGCATGTATTTCAGCTTAAAAGACAAAGTTAATCTTCTAAGAGGAGAAACAACACGCCAAACTGATTATCTTATACATAGATTGTGTAATTGCCTTCAATAACTAGCTTTTCAAGACATCTTACATGTCTACATAACTCTCACACCAATCATTTGTACCTTCCCCGCAGAGTACGTCTAGTAGTTTTGGCTTTTCCTACAACCGATTGCCAAAAGATAGAACTTGAAATTTAACCTGATTACTTGCCACATGCATCTGCACATCATCTTCCTCTTTCCTTTCCACAGAAGAATGTCAACCCTTGCGTGATCTTGACATTCACTTACACTGGATGATGGAGGGAGCAGCCGCCGCAATATAGCTGGAATATTGCTAGGTTCGGCGTTAAACAGCATGTGATGGAACAAAAACACACTCTTCTGTCTATGCCTGATTCTCGAATTTATTTCTTACATCGTGTTTGGACTTTTTGCTGCTATTATTGTTGTGGCACGTGATAAAGAAATATAAACACACCCACGGCCGTTTTAATTATGTTAACTATCGCATAACTGGTCGTTTCCGATTATTCTTACCATTCATCACCATGATCATTTCGTTCTTATAGCCACTGTCAATGTCAGCAAGGTAGTTGGAGAATAGTTCCTGTTGCTTGCTGATGTTCTTTAGGTAGTTGGGGTCGGGGTAGCCGCTACGGTGTGCGTCCTCTGGCCACTATACAATGAACAAGTTAATATTATATACAACCCATTTCATGCCAATGACGGTTCACTGAAACAACATGTATCACAGTATTAATACATTTAATTGTGTACAAAATGCAAGAGTTATATTCCAAAGATGCTCATTTGTTACTTAATATCAAACAATAAACATGTAAACAATTTCACTCGTCACGCCGAAGACCGGGTTCGATTCCCGACATGGGCACAATGTGTAAAGCCCATTTCTGGTGTCCCCCGCCGTGCTTTTGCTGGAATATTGCTAAAAGCGACGTAAAACCATACCCACTCACTAATGCTATTGGCCTACATGTAGGTTTCTCCACATCAGTCTTTATTACATCACTTGTCTTGTCTGAGATGAACATGGGACATCTTAGAATTATTGTATATCCCAACGAAATATAGACATTGACTCTTAAACATGGTGTCTTTTGCCTTAGCTGGAGGTTGATCTCAACATTCAATTTTATCCCAACACCATCATGCATCTGAGCAATATCACCATAGCAATATATTTGTCAAGTAATGTCTGTTTGCAATACATGTAACATTACTGTCAAAACGTACTTTTGAAACCATAACTGCGATATTACAGTATGAGCAAATGTAAACCATCAGTTTCTGTCTAATATGTGACGTGTTGGGACAACATACAGAATTGAGTTAGAAAGAAATCTCACTTCTTTAAAGAGACTATAATCTTCGTGTATCCAGCGCCCACTGGTTGTTGCGGACTTACGCTACCCAGAACCTCCACGTGTAGGCTCATGAATGTTTATCCTAATGACATAAAGACATAAAGCACTGTCTAATATATGAAGTACAAGGTAAAAAAATCGAATTGGAAAGAAAATTTCACATCTTGGAAGAGATGATCATTTAGATCTCTGTTCATCCAGCGCCCACTGTCAGTCCGAATGCTCCGACAGTTTGCAATAAGGGACTCCTGTTCCAGGCCATTGTGCTTGTTCCACCTGTCACTCTCATAGCGAACTCTACCTCCCTGTGCCAGCCACTGAGGGTAGATCGTCACCGTCGTGTCACTGTACACACCGCCTGTAATCAGACTCAAAGCGAAATAGGCCTGTGTCCATTTCATTGTCACTGGAATATAATGTATCATCAGACTTGAACAGCTTTAATGGGAAGAATTCACGAGAATTATTTGTGACGTTCCATAAATGTGTGTACATGGTAAGAACATGCGTAGGTATGTAGGTGTGGTGATAATATAGCCTTGAGGTAAGTGAATGCCACGCCAGAAGGGAAGATGTGTATATTACACTAATACAGTAACATTGAAAAGACAGCCCGATTTATACTCATTTCTCCGTCACATGAAAGTCTAAACCGATATTCAAAAATACCTGAGTGGACTATTTTGCTTTCAGAAAGCTCTTGCTGTTCTTTTCATATGTGTTATTTCCCTGATGATCTAAACGCTTGCTTAAGGAAACAAACGCACAAGGCGGTGACTGTTTGGTGTAACAATATTTGTAAAGGCAAGTATGTCAAGCCCTTATCATCCAGGCCATGTGCTTGTTCCACCTGTATCAGTCATAGCGAACACTACGTCCCTGTGCAAAATAGATACAATTTACATGATTTCCAGAATGTTGATTCATCATCATCATGTTTGACAATCACTGGCTAGTCTGGTCCAGACACCATTATTTACCAACCACCTGCTGAGTGTGGCGTGAAACAACAAACAAACACAATGTTTCTCTAAGCCTCCCAGTCAATACACAAAACTGCATATCTCCAGTAATTATTTATTTTCACGTAACAGAGCCAGTTATTGTGTAAGCATATCAGTGCCTTATTGTGGGGTTTCAATGAGAGTGGCACTTTGAAGATTGTCTGAGGGGGCCTTGCCTCATGAGGAAGGTCAACCATTCTTTGTGTTTTCTGTATTTTAAAGGGCCCGTTGAAGGTTACGATAGGATACAGTTGTCCTTGATGGTGACGCAGGTAGCTCATCCAGTGGCTGGTTTGATCCTGTCGTCTTTACAGTCACAGTTTGTGCCAATTTCGTTGTGCTAACCTCGACATGGTTCGTTCCTGTGCATAATACTGGCTGGTAGTTCGAAAAAGGAGTAATCTGACGTGAATTTGTACCAAAACTCGAAGAACGTCCACCATACCTGTGGCATTTCTTTGAAAGTGAAAGTGAATAGTTCAGACTATCACGTCCTGGATATTTTTGCATTGGCTCCATTAAGTATCACTGTTTTATCTGCAGTGTGGGACCAGCCACTTTAATGTTAAATCATGCAATAATTTGTGGAAGTGGCAAAAGTAAAATTTCAGATGTCAGTCTTAGTGTCCGGTTCATTTATGGGATCGAAGTAGGGCGGGTTCTCTCCTTTGGTATTGTCATATACTCCCTGCATATCAGTATCATGAATGCAACTGCAGCATCGAGTTGTTTGGGAATTTACCTCCATGTTCGGACTGCTTCGTCCAACTTGCCCAGTTATGAGCTAAAAGCCAATACATAATGGAATATGAAACTGATCTAAAAAACATTAAAAACACCTATGTGCTTTCCATGTTTGCTGTCTTAACATAATATGCAATCGTTGTTCTTTACGACTGAGTGAGTGAGTTGTCTTTAACGCCGCTTTGAAAAGCATTCCAGTTATATCACAGCGTTTCAGCTTAATGTGGGAGAAAATCCCGACGTGATGCAGGCTTAAGACGTTCACCTCTTTGGTGAAAACTATTTTTGTGATGACAAAACTTGAACCGTAATCGGGGCGGACCAGGATTCGAACCCACGACCAACGGTTTCTGGCGTTCCCAAGAGATGGAACCCTGGACAACGATTTGCCCCTCGCTCTAGGAATATCAATCTGGTTATCACATACGGTGAAATAGATGAACATTAAATTTCTTTTGGACATATGCCTCTAAATATACTACTCCACTTTTGATTGGGTAATTTTATGTTTGGTCAGGATACAGAAAACTGATTCTTATAGTATGTCAAGTGTATGTTTAAATAGAGTGACGTATCTCATTATCCCTAAAATATTTGAGTAAAATATATCCCAAATGTCTCTATGCACCAATCAATGGAACATACAGATACATTATGGCTGGTCGGTATTGACATTCTTTCACGATACATGATAGGACAGGGCACGCCCACCTGTCTATCAAAGGCCTGGCCCCATCATTTCAGTAATTTGTGAGGTGAATTTGTAGATTTCATTTTGTTTGGACTCTTTTTGTGTCATTACACTTGCGACAGAGATACAAATATGGATACAGGTCTTCTTTGTTGTTTGTAACAACGCTTCAGGGCTACGTCTTCCTCCTTCATCAGATGGAAATTTCATTTCGACATGAAGACATGAAACTTTATTGATAACAACTTTTGTATTTTATTTCACTAAACAATAAACCAGTTCTTATCCGGAAAGTTTCAGGTAGTCACGTTCTTCAAACAGCTGAATGCCCATCAAAGACTCAATCAAGTGTCAGCAGCCTTCTCTCTACATATCCAACTACGCTTAAGATGAAAAAGTTACTTCAACAGTAGTAGGGGGGCACGGGTGGCCCAGTCGTGTAAGGCGCCGCGATTCGCTGTGCAGAGTTGCGTCCCTTGGGCACGCCAGAAACCTATGATTGTGGGTTCGAATCCCAGTACACCCCGATTATGTTTCTAGGTTTGTCAGCATCATACCCGTGCTCGCGGGTTTCACCGAAGTGGTTTCTGCATCACTTCGGGCTTTCCTCCCACATTCAGCTGACACGCCGTGTGTGTGTGTGTGTTGTGTGTTGTATGTTGTGTGTGTGCGTGTACGTGTGTGTGTGCGTGTGCGTGTGCGTGTGCGTGTGTGTGTGTGTGTGTGTGTGTGTGGTGTAATAGGCTCCAGGGAAAGGAAAACAAACATTTTGGCAACATTGTTAATGAGTGTATATCATGATTTTCTGAGCAAACTTAAGTAAACGTGAAGTCATTCAGGCATAATTTCAGCATTTTGAATCTTTTGGACCCACCCCAAAAAATAAAAAGGAAGAAAGAAAGAAATTACCAAAAAAAGGATATATTCAAATATTTCAAACATTTTTTATTATAAAGCTGCAATGATTTGGAATATTATATGTCTTCATTACAAGGAACGTGCATGACAAATGTCATTTGTCAAGCAGTATCAATGGAGATGTTTAAGAGCATGCTGAATCTGCGAAGGTCATTGTGGAGAATAATTCGGGGTTAGAGAGTCATGTGCCGTTTATATAGTCCGTTACAGAGAAGAGATCCCCTCGTTGAAGGACTGGGGGTCACTTGCTCTTGTCTCGACGGCCGACGCAGTGCGTGTGAAGGCCTTGACTAAGGGGTAGCTGACACATGTCAAGTTGGCCAAAAGTATAGCTCGCCGTCCGTGAACAGATTGGACCAACAGCCCTTCCTTTTGTTGCACAAACCATTTATCTATGAAGCCAAATTTTGTTTCCATTGCACCTATACATATCAACTTCCGTTTCGCCAATGTTTCCCCAAAGTATGCAGATAATTCGAAGACAAATGTTTTGTAATGGGGTTTAAAATATGCTTTTCCAATTTTGCACCTACTCCGGCTTATGTTTCCCATGAAGTTCAAGGTCGAAGCATAAATTCTGCTCATCAAACTTCATCATGTGGAAATGGCTGAATAAATGTCAAAAGATGAACTCTTCAGTGTGGCCACCATGGCGTCCATGTTTCTAATTGCATCGAAATTCTGTAAACACTTTTTTGAAACAACTGCTGGTATCATTTTGGCACAGTTTCAGGTTCATATACTTTATTTTTGCCTACCATTTACTTCCTTCATATCCAATTCCATAAAGATACATGCAGAAATGTTTAACTGGTTGGCACAGAGGTTTATAATCGGATCGGATTTTGTTTACGCTTTTCAGAGATACCCTAGCTGGGATCGCTCATACAAATTTTCAGCTCCAGATAGTATACTTGACTTTCCGTCAGGTGAGATATAAATGATGGAACGTGAAAGTCAAAGGTCTCAATCTTCAAAAATAATGTATTGTATGTTATTCTTCATACCACGTGGTTGCTGCATATAACATTTCTGGTGGTTAGTTGTTGTTATAAGGTTTGTAACCAAACAGGCCAGAGATCCGGAGAGCAGAAGGTCGGTGGTTCGATCTCCTGGACGCGACATACCAAAAGATGTGACTTGTTGTTTCTTTCTCTGTGGTGCTCGGCATTGAGAGGTTAGAACAAGAAGCGGTCGGATCAGAGTCTGTATATTGTGTCTGAGTTGGGGATACATTTAAAACTGTGTTGTGGTACCACAGTTGGATAGCACTATAAAACCGACTGGTAAATCCTGACCGTTACATGCACGTCATACATACTGATGAACTTTTCGATACTGAATCAAGTACTCAAAAGTGTTTTTTTATACCTGTGCTTCATAAGAACTGCATCTTACCAGGGTTGCTCACACGGTAACTGTGAGTTTGCTCATTTGATAACTGTTTGACTGTTCATCGTAATTCTTATGATTTTGTGTCTGACATAGAACCAAATTATGGTCATGCGTTGCTTATATACTGGGCGGTTTATTTTCGGAGTCAGTTATCAGCTTCACGTATCTTTCAAAGTAAACTTTCTGAAAACATCGTTTGTTGTTAAAAACCAGACTCAGGTATAGTCCACCTACAGGACGGTGTTCTGTATATAGAATGGATCAGACCAGAAACACCAGACCACGTGCGTGCGTGCGTGCGTGCGTGCGTGCGTGCGTGCGTGCTTGCGTGCTTGCGTGTCTGATGACCTGAGAAGAATATATCAAAACTTACATTAGACACATTGGTGGAATATGTTTTTATTATCAAAGTTTGAGAAATTTGTCAGAATTATTATCATTATCATGATTTCAAATCAGATGGGACAAGCTTGGCTGCGACAAGAGCTACTGAAGAAACATATCCCGCTGTCATGTTTTTGGAGAAGTGAACCTGTACCAGGTTAGGCCCGGTGGCAAACAGGGAGGTAGGGACTACAAACTCCCAAACTTGCCAATAGGTGGTGCTGGTAAACTTGTCGGAATCATACAGCTTAAAGAAAGAGTCCAGGGGATGGAGGTTAAAGGTAAGAT